TTAACAAGTATTAGTATACTTATAAACTTGCACACTTCTACGTACACAAGTAATTATAATAATAATAATAATAAGAAAAAAAAACCACCATACAGGGTACACACATGCACGAACGTATAAAAAAAAAATATGGATGTAGAAAAATAACAAAGGCATGCACTTGTCGTTGAAAATAAATCCCAAAAAAATTATCAGTAATAGTAAGTAAAAAAGGGTGGACATGGGGGGTTGGTTTTAAGGATAAATCCCGTTGATTTAAAGTTATAGTATTGCGAGAATTTCAGGTATACCAACTTGACAACAACAACAACAACAACGGGGGGTGGGGGGAGGGTCAATTGATGTGCTAGGAAAATTATTTATTTCATGGGCTTTACAAATGTATAAGCATAAAAATGTAAGTATAAGTATATAAGTGTAAATGTAAATGTAAATGTAAATGTGATGACTTCTTTTTATGCATTTACACACGATGATGATAAAGAAAAAAAAGAAAAAAGGATTGGTGGGGGAGTGGATAGGGGGATAAAAAAAAAGGGGATGAAAAGGGATGAGTAGATGAACGTTGGATGTAATGCATTACTTTGTAACACACATACTCACACACACAGTCATTTATACTTTACACCTACGTAATAAATAGATAAGAGTATGCTGGTGCAGTTATAGTTGCAATTCCTCAGCCCCCCCCCTTCCCTTTCCTTCCCTTTTCTCTGCAACCCCTTCTCTTTAACTTTTTTTGTTTTTAACTGTGAGTGAGTGAGGGAGTGTGTATGAGAAAGAAAGCATATAAGAGACACACGTATACAAACTTACGTGTCCTATGTACTTTTATATATATATATATATACGTATTTATATATGTATGTATGTATGTATGTGTTGGAATGCAACGGCCTAGGTGAAATGCCTGGCCACGTGCCAGAGACTTTAACCTCAATTTGCAATAAAATACAAGCACTCAACGACGACTAACGCGAATTCTCGTCTTTTCATTTTTTTTTACTTTTTTTTTATATTCCTTTTTTTTATTTCTTTTCTTTTTTATTTTCTTTTCTTTTGTGTTATTTTATTCGATTTGATTTGATTTCGTAGTTTCGTTATTCGGTCTACCTCGTACTATTGTATTTCTCATATATACATATATAATTCTTTTATTATTATATTTTTTAATTGTTGTTGTTGTTATTGTTGTTGATTATTTTTGATATTTAATTAAACGTGTTATCTTTCGAGGAAAAAAATATTTCGATGAAATGTTTCTATTTTTTTTTTTTTTTTTTTTTTTTTTTTTTTTTTTTTTTTTTTTTTTTTCAAAAGAATTATTATTTTCTTCCACAGAGTAGTATAATTTTTATCCTCGAATAATTTTTTTTTACTTTTGTTAATTCTTCTTCTTCTACTTCTTTTTTTTTTTTAGTATTATTATTATTATTATTACGATAGTCTCGGATACACAAGTTTACGAAAGAACATGATATAAATAATCTCGCGGTTGTTTCTCTTCTTCGCATATAACGGAATTTATTACTTTAAGTTGTTTTATCTTCGAAAAAAAATAAAAAAAAAAAAAGGAAATAAAAAGAAAAACAAGTATCGGCAAGTTTTTATCGATGTTAAAATTAAATGTCAATCGTAGTACGAAATTTTTTTGTTCGACTAACACACACAACGTTATTAAATATTTATTATACCATATATATATATATATATATTTTTTTTTGATTAACATTATCACGAATTACGTTATTTAAATATATTTTTAAAGTATATCTGATAATTAATTAATCACATTAGTCCCCTCCGCCCCCTCCCTCCCTCCCGCCCACTCCTCCTTCACCCCAGAAAAGAAATTTCAGATCTTAAAAACGAATAATATTTGTTACGAAATATATATATAATAATCAATATAATATATAAATATGTGTATATATATATATATGTGTGTGTGTGTGTGTGTATTCAGAGGTGACGGAAGTATCGATAAGATAATACTTATATCAAAGATAACACTTATCAAAGTGCTAACATTGATCAATTAATTTCATTAAAATGAACGATCACTCACTCATTCGACACACGTGTTTATGTTAATCTTACAGATTATTTTTATTTTAAATACTTACATATATATTTTTTCTTTTTTTTTTTCTTTTTAACACAACTCGCCAATAATACATAATTAACAATATTAAAATTAGATATCAAACGATAAGATTTAAACAACACGATCACACTCCCCAAACCAATTTTTCTAGTAACAGACAAAAAATCCCATTGGGCTGGCAGAGAAGGAAGGAGGGGGGTGGGTGTGGGTGAAGGAATTTATTCTAAAAACCATAGAGATCATCTAACAAACAAAAAAAGTATATAAAAATTTATCAAAACTATTAGAAAATGAAGAAAACAATCTAATAACACGTGTAACGTTATTATCCTAAAGTTGAATCGGTAAACAAAAAAAGAAAGAAATTCGGCATTGAAATGCGTCAGGGTTTATTTCATCGAAGTTACCAGGTTCGTATATACCTGGTGACCTCTTTACATAGTATTACATTACACGACATTGCCCTGTGTGGCCTGTGTAAAGTTAGCAAGCTAGCTAGCTAGCTTTACATACGTGCGCGCGCGCGCACACACACACACTAACACAATGCACCCCGTTCATCGTTTCTCGGCGCGTTTATCTGAGGGCGTTTATCTCGGCGCGTCTACAACGGCACGTTTATCAACAGTAATAAATGAGACAGTTAAACAAAGAGAACTAACCCCCCTCACCCCTTGTCCCCTTGTTCCTATCCCCTATCCTTTGCCAACTAACACTATCACTATTCGTATCTCCTTGTTACACCCCCCACAATCCCTTTACTCTCCTGTTTTACTTCAACAAGCTAAATTTTCTCATGCTAGTCTTGCTTGCTAGTATTGCTAGTTTTATGGGATTTAAACAAAAGAACAAAAAAACAAACACTGACAGGATTTTGACGTTGAGATTATCGGAGGAAAAAATGAATTTTATATTGTGTGTGTGTGTTTTTTTTTGATGTGATTAGATTAGAAAATATTTCAATGTAAAAAGGGGTTATGGGTTCGTTAGGTATACGGAGAAGAGTGTGTGAGAGAGAGAGAGAGAGAGAGAGGGGGAATTGTTTATCAATGTATTGTTAACAATGTTATTGTCATTTTTCAGCCCAGACCAGGAAGGAGGTCTCGTGGTCGTCCGGGTAACAACACAGCACAATTGCAAACAACTCCGAGAGTTCAGAGTCCGATATCTCAACATTTGGAGAAAGGTATTTTGTTCGTTCGAATATAATTTCATATTTAAACAATGTTTAATTGTATTTTAAGTTTAAACGAAGTTTCATTTTTTATTTTTTCATATTATTATCTTTCTCTCTTGCTCTTAATAGGTTATTTTTTGTATCGCAGTCTCATAGATAGAAAACGTTATAGAAAATTGGTTAAAAGTAACATTTTAGAAACTATTGTAAACCGAAAAAAAAGAAACACGTATTCCTAACAGGTTTTTCTTCACCGTTCTATTTAATATACACAGTTATAATAAAGAAAAAAAAATAAGAATACATTAATCCACGTATAATCTTTTGTGTCGAAAAATTTGCGTTGATATAATTATAAGTCAAATGTTTAATCCTGTTATAAAAAATAATATCTTAATGAAAATAGAAAACACACATCTCTCTGTGGTGTGTACCGTGGAATAAACTAACTTAAGTATACCATCGGAATTTGAATAATAGGAATAGAATTGGTGGGGTATGTGTATGTTAAAGTTGAAAAGTGTATGGATGAGTGGTATAAAATGGGGATGCTGTTTTTGGGTGGAAATTGGGTTGAAGTTTCAGATGGGATAAACGACGTTAGGATCGATTTGAGAAAAGCAAACTGTGTCTTGGAATAAAAGGAGATACTGAGAAGAGTATAGGAGTATGAGGAAGAGGAACAGGAGGATGAGGATGAGGATGAGGATGAGGAGAATAGAACCCGACCCAATGTCCAGGTCTCTCTTTGGCGTGTGGTCGATGAAGCGAGGTCAAACGGGGTCGTTGAGAGTTGGGTTGCGCGATCGACCCAGGCAAAGGTCAGACGAAGACATACCATTGGACTAAACCCCTCTCTTCTGAGGGATGGTAGGGGGGAGAGGTTTTCTCGTGAGATGGTTAGAGTTGGGGGAGGGGTGGCAGGCAGGCAGGTGGTGGTGGTAATGGTAGGAGGAGGAGGAGGGGTTCCATTAACTTGCTTCTGGAATTTAACGGAAGAATCTATCGGAGGTTAGGTGTGTTGTTGATGGTTAATGAGAAAGGATCATGGTATTGTAAGGGGGTGAGGGATGGGGAGAGAGGGGGATTTGGAATGATTTCGAGAGGGAAAGCTAAAGATTCTATCTTTCTCTCTGATTCTGAAATAAAACAAGACGAGAAATAAAACATAGAACTGTAACACTTCTACAGGGTCGGTCAGACTGTCTACACTGTAATAGTGGTGTTAGTTGTTGTAGTAGTAGTGGTGTGATGCTGTTCTACAGTTGGGGGTAAGGGAAATGATTCGAGGAACTACTCCCTGAGAAAACCGGTTCACAAACAAAAGGTTCCTCCTCCTATTGGGCTGTCCCTTTCTGTTCTCTTCTCTTCTCTTCTCTGCGTTATTTTGCTTGAAAAAGAAGAAGAAGAAGAAAAAGAACAGGGGGAATGGGTTTGAAAATAAAATGAAGGAAAGAAGAAGAAGAAGAAGAAGAAGAAGAAGAAGTTGAACGGGGGCTGATTCAGGTAGACCCAAAAGGGCTGGCCGAGAGTAGTCTTGCCCAACATGTAACGTAGATACTTTTCTTTTTCTTTTTCTACTTTTATCGGAGTCCTTTGTTCACGACTGGAACTTCTCTCCTTTCTTTCTTCTTTTCTTTTCTTTTCTTTTCTCTAATCGCACCACTACCACCATCACCATCACCATCACCATTCTCACTTTACATTTTTTTTCTTCTCTCTTCCTTCCTTCCTTCCTTTCTTCTTTTATTTATTTCAAACACGTCTGGGTAGTAAAGTATAGAAGAGAAAAGTATCTTCATTTCCCCATCAGAGACAGTCTTTTTCATTTTAAATTCGTTCCTAAATATGAAAACTGTTACCGTTTACTTAAAAGGAAAATATGGACAGAATTTGATTATTATTTATTCCCATTTTTCGAATAAATCTTAACAGATCATCCATCCGATAATGATTATTTTCCATTATTCCGATTTAAGTTATCGTCATCGTCATTTTTCTTTTTTTCCTTTTGACTTGTCAGTTTGTAACATAGCCAATATGTTCAGTATAAAAGAAATAAAAAAAAAAGAAGAAGAAAAAAATAATAATAATAAGAGTAATAAAGTAACGAAATCCTCTTAAAACGGGAAGAGAGAGTCCCTTTGATGTGATTCCAGTCTTCTTCTTATTTTTCATTTTCTTTTTCATTTTATTCGTCGGCATAATTCCTCAACTTGTGTCCCGCCTTCATTCTATACCCTCTTTCTGTTACCGCAGTATCTCTTACCCTTATATACGTATACATGTGTGTTTATCTGTATGTGTTAGTAACATGCAATCCATATACTCGTCCACTTTTCTTTTCTTCTCTTCTCTTTTTTTTTTAAGCTCTCTTTCTTGTTCAGCCTCGCAAAAATAAACGGCACCGGGTATAAAGCTCGTGTCGGGTGACACATTGCTGAAAATACATTCACCCCCTGAGCCCTCCTCCTCCTCCTCCTCCTCCTCCTTCTACCCTTTTTCCTTCTTCATCTCAGTCACTCACATTTTTTTCTTTCTATTTTTTTTTCTTTTCTTCTTTTTTTTTCTTTTCTTCTTTTTTCTGCTTTCCGTAGCTAGCAGCAGCACTTCGACTACACGTAGTAGTTGATACTCCGGTGATAATTACCGTGGAAGGGTGAAAAGGAAACGTTTCGTCTATTTGTGGATATTACATAGACACACATACACATATACATACAAAGAAAACGTATATGTTGGTGGTAGAGAGAGTATATTCGTAGGTAGAAAAGCAGACGTTTGCTAGGTTGGACCAATTACACGATAGATGCCGGGTGTACGTTCATTCCTCTCTCTCTCTCTCTCTCTATCTCTCTTTATAGCAGGAAATGACTGCACTCATTCGTACATCTTTTTTTCCTGCTAACTATACAGACGTTACCACGTAACTTGGTACGATAGGATAGGATAGGATACGATACGGTATGTTACGTTACGGTAATAATCAAAGATTCAATGGGGATGTGATCTTTCAAAACTGTCTGAACGAAATAGATCTGACTGTTGACTAATAGCGGAATAGATTCTCTATTCCCTATTATGTTTTTCTATTTGACAAAAGTTTACTTTCAATGTAAAGTCATCTGATTTTTTAATGCTACCATTCCTATCAATTATGCAATGCTCTCTTTCTGTCTCCACATATCCATCAACATCATCAATCCTAATCATCATCATCATCATCATCATCATCATCCTAATCATCATATGTCGAGTACCGTGTGATTTGTTAGATAGATGATGAGATAACAGTAGAAAAGTAGTATTGGTCTAGCCAACTAATTATCGATGATCATAGATCAATGATTGGATTCTTCCAGGCCAATGAACTCAATAAGAATCCAAACCAACCCCCACCTGGTGATACGAATACTAACCAATAATAACACTCCTAGGGAATGTATGATGGTGGTGTTGGTTTAATCAACTAGACCAATTGGGTGGGATCCCTGTTCTAATTATTCGCGAATAATTGAACGTTACGTTAGTCATGCACCAGATTCCAATGACCTGATCCCCTTGATGTATAAACCATCTATCTCTTTTTATTATTCCTTACTTTCTTTCATACATACATACATACATACGTTAACGCGTGGTTTCACCATAACAAATCAATCAAACCATCATCCTGTCTATACTTTCTTTGTCTCTTGTGTCGTCATTTCATCGGTTAGGTTCACTGTTGTTGTAGATGGTTTTTATCTCTCTCTCTCTTTTTCTCTTGACTTTTCTAGCAAGCACATTGAACAGTCGTTCCGTTGAAGAATGAAAGACAAGGAAAGAGTTTAAACCAAGGGGGAACTCGTCGTAGCTAGCTAGCTAGCTAGCTAGCTACTGGTTGGTTTATACGGCTTGGCAGTTGGCCAATCCTGATCCAAAGTTCCCGTCGAGACACGTTTTTCTTCTTTTTACTTCTCCGGTTTCCTCTTTCTTTCTCTATCTTTCTCTATCTTTCTTAATTCGTCTTCGTTCTTTTGGACTTTTCAAAGTCAGTGCTGTTCTCTAACGTTGTCCATTCCTCTCTTTCTATACTTTCTTTCCCATACGTCTACATCAACCTATCTATCTCTCAAACTTCTTATTCTTATTCTTCTTATTCTTCTTCTTCTGTTTCTCTTCTAACCAGAAGAACAGAGAAATGTGCAAGAGAAATGATGAGGTACATTGATGAGGGGTCTTTGAAGAAATGCATCTCATGAGAAGAACTAGCAGTGTTGTTCTGGTGATGTTTGTATGTCCCATACCACGATACTCATTCTAATTCCATGGGATTTATTTTTCAACTTTTTACTCACAACGGGATTTCTTACCTTGGGTTACTCAAAACGTCATTTAATTGACCATGTTTACCGTTAATTACTGATTACTCTTCTATACGATTTTAATGTGTTTTTTTTTCATCCTTCCGTGTGTGTGTGTGTTAACAGAAAATTTAAATTGTGTTCATTGCAAATGAAAAATGTTTTGAATCACAGGTTTAGAAATCTAGGAACGTGTGTTTATCTCTCAGCACACAATTTTATTAGATTTTCATTAATATAAATGAGAGATTATAATATTGTTATATTAGATGTTTCATTATAGATCATTATAAATAGAATAGTTGATTATTATTCATTGAGGATTCCAATCGAATAACAATTGGGAAAAAGCTAATTCCCCTTTTGTTGCTTATATAGAACACGTACATAAATATAGTACGCAGTTACACGTGCGACGGATTAAAACATTGTCGTGTGGGTTGAATACGTGATATATTTTATATTATGTTTAACGTTACGTGCGAAAATGATGCCAGTGCAATTAAACGTTATACGTGCAACGGGTTTTAACGTGTGACGTTATTTCCTATTTCCTATACTCTTTTGTTTTATATTTATACGTTATTCCCTATGAGTCCCCTGTGATATCAATTGGAATAACAAAAATAGTATCGAGATTATTATGCATCTCATTTTTCGGTA